CCTGTGAAGGTGTTCTGAGGAAACACACGTACTAAGCAGCCCTGTTTCTTCTTGCTGGCACGGAGAATAGGGCATGCATATGTACGCATGAGTTTGGTGAGTCTAACTGTAGGATTTTAAGACATTAGTGCCTCCCGCTACCTCTGTTAATTTCTACCTCCTCCCCATTAAAAGTCAGCAGAATGGCACCAGCTCTTTCAAGCTATAAGCAGTAATAAAATTGTTCTTTTAGGTTCCAGTTTGAAACTGTACAGATAACACTCAGCTTACTTAACTGAAAAAATAAGTCTGTAAAGATAAAACCTAATTCTCTGCAAGAAAAACTCCTAAGCAATGCATCATATTTTTCTCAAGTCCCATGCTCTGCACATTGGTATTAGTGCCAAAATAGGTGTGCTACCTCTGGTATCATTAAGAGATGGAGCTTCTACAAAATAGTATATTTTCTGCAAAATTTTACAGCTTTGGTCTTAAATACAAAGTTTTTGTAAGTTCACTCTAAACATGAGTTGAACAAATTCAGCTGTTTGCTTTTTTGGTGTGCGTGGAATGTGCTGAGTTAGATCCAGGTGCTCCATGAAGCATGCTCAATTTGTTTCTTTTGGCTCCAAAAACTAAGATCAGCTACAAAGGGACAATGTTTGTTACCAGTCCTCAACTCCCTTTAAACTGTTCAATATTTGCTGCAGTAAATCAAACACATCACATGCCACAAATAATTTGACTCCTTGTTCTTGTAGCCTTTATTGAAAATTCTTTTGGAGCTTGCCTTTTTCAAATTGTTGCAAATAGAACCACTTAGTTTCAGTGATTAATATGCTGTATTTTTTACCTTATGAATGTAAAAAAAAAACCCCAAAATAACCAAATCAGTATCATATATATGCTTTTGTATACCATAGGGGTTTTTTAGGGAATGGATTAAAGCTCTCAGCTCCTAAGATAATAATAATAAAAAAAAGTACTTGTTCAAATCCAAATCCACTTCTATTTTATGCTCAGGATTTTTCTGCTGATTTTTATACTTGGGTCAAAAGTGCAAAGTCTTGTCTAAAAAGAGGTTAAGAACTTCACTTGATGGCTTTTATTGCATCAAACAAGTAGATCTTTCTTCCTAGTGCTTGGAATTCTAATTCTCTCTGAAAGGTGCGAGAAGAAAGGACTGCCCAAACTATAAACACAATGTTGGGAAAATTGTTCTAATTTAAAGACATGCATTTTCACTATACAGCCAGTAAATTTCTAAGTGACTTCATTACGCTCAACTCTCAGCTTCATAGATTTCTACGTTAGAGACAATTTAATAAATGGTAATAACATAGCACACTATTGTCCCCAAACTGTAGTTCATGAGTCTAATGTAATTGGTCTAGGGACCCATATGAAGCAGTCAAATTCACAGAGCTTTCAATTACAAGCTTAATATAGGAGTCTGATGTTCCACAAGAAACTTTAATAACTAGTAATAGTCTGTTAGTGCTCATATGGCACATTTCAGGTTTAAAGCATTTAGCAAATGAACACCTGCAAGGATTCTTAGAGCACAGAGATTAGCCCATTGCCACTTTGTAACTATTCTGTATAATAAAGAGAAATAAAAAGCAAACAATAAGGCAAATTAATTTCAAGCCTTTGGGAAGTTTTGTGTTACTTGTAGAGTGAAATTACTTGAATAACAATGCACTGAACAAAGAATCATACTGTTCAAGTTTAGTTGCTATATAAAGGTAATAGTCAAACTATTTTTGGACAAACCTCCTGTTGAAAAGGCAATCTGTTTTTGCTGGAGAACAATATAAAGACTTAAATCTTGGTCTGATTATGAAACAGTCACCCATATCAGCTATTTTAAGATCACAGGTATTTCATTACAATGGAATGCTGGCACTGAGCTTTATACAGTTTGTGCCAGTTTCTTTTTGCTGTAATTTTAAATTGAGTTTCTTTTGATCTGTGTAAGTGTAAATAAATCAGAGACAGGCTCAAAGCATAAATGCAGAACAAGAATATTTTCAATGCTGTTAAATTTGAATACCACTGTTGTTTCTCTTTACCTGGTTTTAGCTTTCCATCGTTAGCTGCAGAGCTTTTCTCAACAAGGCTTATTATCTGGAGGTATGGCCCGTTCTGTATGATTATGAGACCCAATCCTTGTTCATTCATCCTAATATTTGCCTTTAATGTTGCAATCAGTGTGTGCTGAGAGACATTTTCCAGTGCTGGCAATTGCCCTTCAAAAAGAGAAGAAAATTTTACTAGTTGAAAGTGTGATATCATTCTTCAATAAAATGTTTAAGGAGACATTTGAGCACGTGCTGTACCCATTTTTAATTGTCCATACAGTTAAGTCCCTCATACTTAATTGCTTCTCTAGATAGGCATTGCCTGCTGAGTTGCTGCCAAAAAGCCATAATAGCAATGCTTGTAAAAAAGTTAGTGTACTCCATAAACCAACTTTTTGCAAACAAATATACTGAAAGTAGTTTTTACTTATTTCTTAAAAAGTCACACATTTTACCAAGAGAAAAAACAATATTGCTGTTAAGTATTCATTACAAATGGTGAGATATTCAGGGAAGGTAGAGAACAGGGTACAGAGTAACATAACAGAGGAGTTGTCAGCTGTTAAGGACTTCAAGAAAAGATTGAGTTCCTATTAAAAATTGATTTTTCAAATGAATATTTATAGAGGAGATTAATTTCTAAATTTCCAGCAGATTGGTTTCACACCCTACTGCTGACATGAGGGAAGGGACTGTACTTGCCATATTTAGCACCTACAGAAATAAAATACTCTTGAGCATCCGCTATCCATTAAAATGCATAATACATGTAATACAATATAAATGACATTATCCCAGTGTCTCCACCAAGAAATATAATAGGGTAATAAAGTAAATCCTCCATCTCTGAAGCCTGTTCTCATCAAGAGTCAGGAAAAGTTAAGACTGTCACATGAGCACTTGAGACTCCTAAAACAAACTGTATTCTGTTAAAAATGACTTTTTTGTCTCTGTTTTAAGATGTAATCTCTAAATGTAACTTCTGACAGTAGGGTAGCAATAACTTAACTGCTTGAGACCATCTCCAATGGTCTGGAATCACCCAGTGAAAATTCCCACCACTTTACCCCTCTTCTTTAAAATACGGAAACCTGGTCATCTTTCCAATGGCTTCAGTAAAGCTTTGGATCAGGCTCTGAATGACAGCACAGAATGTTTATAAAATAATTAAGATTGAAAGTATAGCAATGTGAACATTTGATTTGCCAGTTTGTCTGCTGAACTGAAAAACAAAGAAAGAAGCATGAATGGTTTGAATTTTTTTTTCCTTCCCAATGAAAAATGCAGGATTTTTTTGATGTTGAGTGGAATACTACATTTAATTTGGATGAAATACTTAATTTTCATGGTCATGCAAGAAAAGCAAAGGAAGACCCACTCTGGAACACACTTTCCTGTGTTGATAATTCTGAGAGGTTGGATGTCTGACCTGCTACTGTTTCTCTGGCTCAGGAATTTATGCAAAGTGGAAAAGGATCAGTAGAAGGGATTGAAACCTTTCCTATGGTGTTCTTGGTCACTTTTCAAGAAATGTGTGTTTCAATCTTTTTCAGCCAGAAGGGGAAACTGAATCCTAGTTTCCTACTTCCAGAATGAGTACTTAACTCCCAGGCCAATAAATGTAAACAGATGATATGAAGTAAGGCTACTTTATATTATTTTCTAGCCAAAATTATTCAGCAAATTCCATTAAAATTCATGCAGTTGTAGGTCAGCAAATGATCAGCAGTGAAACAACACACAAAAAATGCTAATAACAAATCTGGCTAACTTTAATTAGAAGCCAGAATCCTGATTTTAAGCTGCTCCTTATTGCATGAAGTTATCTTGCTGGACACGAGAGATTTAAAACCATGAAAGCAGTGACTAATCCAAAGCCTACAAAACATTTAGGAGGAATGCCAAGATTCACATTTTTAGGTGAGACTCTTGTCTTTTTACTATACCTGATATCAGCCTATATAGTGTCCAAGGAAGGTGGATTTTCATTTTGTTCTGTGCTACAGAAAGTTTAGACACTTGACAGAACCTACATCACAGTTCCCCTAACACTGTCCTGATTTTCTCCAAGGTCACCCTTCAATTCTGCAGTTTCTGCAGGCAGCAGCATAGGATCTCATCCAATCCTCTTCTGCTGAAGAAACATCCTTTTCCTCTTGCCATCTGCCTATGATTCCATTCCAAATACTCAACCT